CTTCTTCCCTCCCTCGTTCCCTCTTCCTTCCTCTCTTCCTTCCTCTTTTCATTCCTTCCTTCCCTCCCTCCTTTTTTCTTCTCTTCCTCTCTCTCTCTCTCTCTCATTCATTCATTTATTCGTTTGTTCATTTTTCTTAAGATCCAAGTGGATCAAAGTGTAATTTTGACCACGTAGGGAGGCTTGGAGCAACTGACTGTGCATGAGGGTCCTTGCACAGAGTGGTATCCCTTATACTGTACGACAGTTCTTGACATCCACTGTGGCTTTCCTGAAATGTTCTGGAGTTTCCCAGCATCCTTTACTTGGAGTAACCAAAAATTCAAAAAGAAATTCCTCTTTTCTCCCTGCTGACCTGTTGAAAACACAGTCCTGCCCAGCCCTGAGATCTGTCCTCAGGACACTGTGAAGATAACCTGTATTTCCTGATTTTCCTTCAGCCATACACTGGTCCTGTGCATGCACACCAGGGAAGGCAGTGACTTTGGCTGCTTTAGCATCATAGCTGTCCGTCAGCTCCCAACATGGAGCAGCAAAGACCTGCTATTTATTTAACCAGGCACTCAGTCTCTTCCAAGGGAAGCAGTGTCCACGCCGTCTTTTAATATCATCATCACTTTCTCAGGCATGCCAGGATCAAGCTTTAATATCACTGGCATTTTTAGGGTAAAAACTCAACCATTTGCTGAGTTTCATCATCAGACCTGCTGTGTTCATCAAGCTTTAATATCACTGTCAGTCTTAGGGTGAAAACCCAACCATTTATCATGTCATCATCAGACCTTCTGTGTTGAACACAGCTCTGTGGACCACTCCGTGCAGCCAAGGCGTGAACCAGCTCACACCACTGAGGGTTAGCATCTGTCATGGTTTAACCTCAGTTGGCAACTGAGCACCACGCAGCCGCTCGCTCACTCCGCTCCCCCACCCACCCCCCGGTGGGATGGGGGAGAGAATTGGAAGAGTAGAAGTGAGAAAAACTCGTGGGTTGAGGTAAAAACAGCTTAAGAATTGAAATAAAATAACTATAATAATAATACACAAAGCAAGTGATGCACAGTGCAATTGCTCACCACCCGCCGACCAATGCCCAGCCAGTCCCCGAGCAGTGGCCCCCCCCTGGCCAGCTTTCCCCAGTTTATGTACTGAGCTTGACGTCACATGGTATGGAATGTCCCTTTGGCCAGTTTGGCTGTGCCCCCTCCCAGCTTCTTGTGCACCTGCAGCCTTCTCAGTCAGTAGAGCATGGGAAACTGAGAAGTCCTTGGGTAGTGTAAGCATTACCTAGCAACAACTAAAACATGGGTCTGTTATCAACATTGTTCTCCTCCTAAATCCAAAACACAGCACTGTACCAGCTACTGGGAAGGAAATTAACTCTATCCCTGCCAAAACCAGGACAGCACCACACAAAGTGGACTAGCTAGGCTCATTCTTCACGGTGTTTGGTTTGGATGGGCTCTTTGTCCCATGCCTGAGGATATATTTGCATTGTTTTTCAGCTCAAAATGTTTGAGGTAGTAGGAATTATTTTTTTTTTAAGCCTGCCAGAGAGTTGTTTTCTATAGGATGAAGATGAGATGTGTTGGGTACACTGGGGAGTGGCAGGGAAGTGCGTGCATGGGGAGGGCAGAGCTGGCTGCAATAGAGCCGGAGCTTAGAGAGGCAAAAGAAGTCTGATACATCTCTACATAGCTTGTCTGGGATGGGCTCTAGTGTGAACTGTCCCTTAGCTGGGCTCTGGCTTTCCCTGGGGAAAATACATGGTTTGGTCTAGAAGAGAGGGTGGGATAGGATTAGCACACGTGTCGTGTAAACACAGAGGGAACAGGCAAGAAACTAGTTAACGAAGAGATATCTTGTCTGGGACCTGATGTCTGTGCCCTGTGGCAAGGTAAAATTTACAACTGCAGCTGGTTGATCTGAGGTAAGAAGGTGTAAGAGTGTAGAGATGGGAAGGATGCTCTTCACGTATCTGAGGAGATGCATCCGAAGAGAACTGAAGCATGCTCTGTTTGCATTTCTCCTGTGAAGGCCATAAAACCACATTCCCTGAGCACAGCGATTACTTTCTATGGCTTAACGAGGGCTCTGCATTTAAGAGCGAGTTAGGAGGAGAAAAGGTAATCATGACCTGAACTCTTTTTTGCTAGGACAGCTGTACATGCTGTATTTTCTTTGGGCTCTTCTGCTGAAAAGGAGTTTGAGTAACCCTGGACGTACAAGGCACACTGTTTCCCAAAGCCAGCAAAGCCCTTTAGTGGTCTCCTCTTTGATGGAAAGCCTTTGCACACACCGTAGCACGTCCCACTGGCCTCTATCTGATACCCTGATGTCTCTAAAAGCAAGATGGGTGGGATATGTGCACTGGGTGATGCTGGAGTCACCACATAGTACCTAAGACATCTTCATCTGGTTATAAATATGGCACAAGAATAAACAGACTAGCAATTTTCTGTAGTGGATGACTGTCTATATTTAGACAAATCAGCCCTTTCCCGGGTGTCTGTAGTGTCAGTGCCTACATCTGGTTAGTAGACATTCAGGGTTCCTTTTATAATTACTCATTATTTAATCAATACACATAGTTCAAAGTTTTTTCTCAACTCCTGACCTGGTGGTCATTGGGCAGAATGTGTTGGGCATGAGTGGGTGTGCAACAAAAGTGGCCCAGCCTTCACTGCCAACAGGGCTAGGCGGCTTTCTTGAAGTCAGGTCATCTGGCTGGGACATTGCTCAAGACCTCAACATGGACCTGCCAACCATGGCACTGCACACTGTCCCTGGGACAACTTTCCCTCTCTGGACAGTGTCTTGCCAAGCCTGGAGCCATACCCTGGTGTCTCTGGCTGCCTCTGTCAGGAAGTAAGGCTGCCATTAATTACAAGCAGTACTTTGGCAGCTGCGCCACTGCAAGGAGCTGGGCTTCCCTGCAGGCTCTGTGGAGGCTCGGGGGTACACAAACCACAGAGACACCTCTTGGCCAAGATCCACAAAGGCCCTTCCCCTTCATTGATTCCCCAAAGCCACTTTGTAGGGACAATCATCTAAATTTTCTAGAAGTCTGACTACCTGTGATGCTTTTGGCCGTGGTCCCCAGGGAGGTGCCATCCCGCACGACATCTCTTTCAGCACAAAGACAAGGCTGTGCTTCTAAATCCCACAGCGTCTTGCACAGCTGGCCTTGTTTCATTGAAACCCATCACCTGCTCTAGGCTCTATCAGGCTGGATCAAGAGAGGTGCAATGGCACGCTGTCTTGTCCGCACACCCTTTCCTAAACTCTTGCACAGCACTCTGGCCCTAGAGCTGACCGTGCATGTCTGTCTTGGACATGTCCTATGTATTTGAAGAGTTCTCATTCTTGGCCTGGAAAGGAGGGGATATTTTGCCATCCTGCTGTTTAACCCATCCCGTGCAAGGGACGGACTGGTCTTCCAGGTCCCCGGGGTCTGGCAGCCAGCCAGCCTTGCTTTTGCTCGGACTTTATTATTGTTGTGGTTTAACTTGGCAGCAGCTAAACACCACACAGCCATTCGCTCACTCCCCACCTCCCAGTGGGATGGGGGAGAGAATCGGGAAAAAAAAGTAAAATTTGTGGGTAGAGATAAAGACAGTTTAATAGGACAGAAAAGGAAGGGAAAATAATAATAATAATAATGATGATAAAAGAATACACAAAATAAGTGACACACAGTGCAGTTGCTCACCACCCGCCGACCGATGCCCAGCCAGTCCCCGAGCAGCCGTCACCCCTCCCCCAGCCAACTGCCCGCAGTTTATATACAGAGAATGACGTCATATGGTATGGAATATCCCTGTGGCCTGTTTGGGTCAGCTGTCCTGGCTGTGCCCCCTCCCAGCTTCTCACTGGCAGGGAATGAGGAGCTGAAAAGTCCTCGACTAGTGTAAGCACTGCTCAGCAACAACTAAAACATAGGTCTGTTATCAACATTATTCTCATGCTAAATCCAAAACACAGCACTGTACCAGCTACTAGGAAGAAAATTAACTCTATCCCTGCCGAAACCAGGACAATTATTAATATCATCTATCTCACCATTTGTGCTAGTATCGGCAGCGCACCCAAAACACCTCTGCATTGAAGCGGCCCTCCCCATTTTCCCTGCTGCTCTCCTGTTCGATGAGCAGCCCCAAGAGAACATTTTGGCTGGTTGCAGCTCCCAAACAAGGTGCCCTGGCCAGTGGATGTGACAGGCAGGACATGTTTCATCTGTGTGCTCTCAGGCATGTGCTACTCTCCTCTGCCTGCAGAAGAGGAATGTGTTGGAGGGCAGGGAGGTGGGTCCCACCCTGGAAGACCCTAGAGCCTGCCTCAGGGGAGAAAGGGTAGAGGGATGGGACAGAGAGGAGAGGCACAACCCAGGAGAAAAAGCCCTCCCAAGGAGAAAGGGTGCAAAAGTGCAGCAGAAAGTGCTGGAGTGTGTCCAAAGAAGAGCAATGAAGCTGGTGAAGGGTCTAGAGAACAAGTCCTGTGAGGAGCGGCTGAGGGAACTGTGGTTGTTTAGCCTGGAGAAAAGGAGGCTGAGGGGAGACCTCATCGCTCTCTACAACTACCTGAAAGGAGGTTGTAGCGAGGTGGGTGTCGGTCTCTTTTCCCAAGTAACAAGCGATAGGACGAGAGGAAACGGCCTCAAGTTGCGCCAGGGGAGGTTTAGATTGGATGTGAGGAAAAATTTCATCACTGAAAGGGTTGTCAAGCATTGGAGCAGGCTGCGCAGGGAAGTGGTTGAGTCACCAACCCTGGAGGTATTTAAAAGACGTGTAGATGTGGCACTTAGGGATGTGGTTTAGTGGTGGACTTGGCAGTGTTTGGTTTATGGTTGGACTTGATTATCTGAAAGGTCTTTTCCAACCTAAATGATTCTATGATTCTGTGAAATTAATTGCTTGCACACTGAGGTTCAGTATCATTTGCAGCCATGGGTACAACCCCCTCTGTCCAACAGCAACCAGTTACCCTAGTTGTTGGTGGCTGGTTTATACCCAGTGCTTATCTGGCTTCAGATAGGGACAAATCCTAATGCTGTCCCAAGGAAAGGTCACGCTCTGGCCCTGCATCCTGTCCCGGTAGATCCTGTCGAAGGTCTCACTCTGTGCCACTGTGAAGTGGTTATCCCAGTCCTCGCAGATGCCTGAGGAAGAAGTGTTTTGGGCTCAGAGCCCACCCCAGCACGCAGCCCCCCTCTCTGCTCTGTAGGCACAAGGGGAGAGGCTCAGCTCTTGGGTCTGGCTACCCTCCCAGGGGGTTGTCCAAAATGAAGACCAACCCTGGAAACATTCAAGGTCAGGTTGGATGGGGCTCTGAGCAACCTGATCTAGTTGAAGATGTCCCTGCTTATTGCAGGGGGGTTGGACTAGATGACCTTTAAAGGTCCCTTCCAACCCAAACTATTCCATGATTCTATCCTACGATTCTATGAATCTATGGACCCCATTCTTCAGACCCAAATGCACCGTGATGTGGCTCTCTAAGACACCCTCGCTCTGGCTGTCCTCATGGGGGAGGACACCTGACAGGGGGGTCTCCCTGAAGTGTTGTGATGGGGTCCCTCTTGCTCACCCTTCCTCAGGAACTGGCCCTTCGTCTGGTCCATGATGTCTGCGGGGAGCAGGATGGAGCTGCACATTGGGTTCTCCCACATGGCCATGAAGGAGGCATTTTGCACCACTGAGGAGACAGCATCATCATCCAAATCCTGCCCCAGGAACCGGCAGAGACGTCTCACACTGCTGTGCAGGTCCTGCAGGGACAGACAGAGCCTGTTACCACCAAGTGGCTTGTGACACAGCAACATGTTTGGAGCTGGAGGGTCTGCCTAGGTGTCTAGCTGCTTCAGCTCTTCATAGGTGATGAAGAAGAAATTCTCTGTGTCCTTCATCTCCATCCAGCCTTGGACATGTTTGAACCAGGAGCCACGGGGCACTGAGGGGAGGCAAAAGGCAGTAGGGCAGGGCAGGGGATGTGCAAGGCTGAGGAGGGTTCACACAAGGTTGGGAGCAGGGCAGCCACGATGCAGGACAGAGCAACGGTGTCCAGGGAGCACGTGGGACTGGGAGGTTCAACTGCAATTGCAGCTGAGCAATGGGTTCTTCTCCAGCTACCTCCACCGTGGTAAGAGGTTGAGGCTAGAGGTGTGCAAGGCTCATGGGTAAGGTCCTGCCAGGGCTTTATAGGGCTTCTTGGCCAAGACTTCCTGAAGGTATCTGAACTCTGCAGGAGAAGGCAGGGAAATCCACTTTCCATCTGCTTCAAAGCACAAGAGGGCTTTGTGGGCCTGCGTCTCTCCAGAAGTGCTTTGCTTTCCTCCTGAGCCATTCACCTCTATCCTATGGGAAGCTTGGCTTCACAGCCATCATCAGAGGACAGTAGCAAGAGACCCTTGAGCCAGAGGTGATGGGAGACACCACCCACCCACCTCTTGCCTTGAGTAAGGCCCAAACCACATGCACGCTTTCCATTCAGAAAGTCCCTCAGGAATTGCTTGAAGGATGTGGGAACCTCATAGCTGTTGCACATCTTGGAAAAGTAGTAGTAGGAAATGACAACATCTCGAGGATCCTGTAGGGTGTAAATAACCTGGGGTAGAGTGCGTACAGGAGTGATATGCTCCCGGAGGGGAAGGAGAGCTGCAGGCCCTGGCACTGGGGTAGATCTGAAAATGGAGGGGTCTGCCACACAAGGACCAACTCTGTGCTAGACTCAGTCACGCAGACCTTGGGCAGGGGTCTCCATGAACACACAAGGCCCCTAGAGCCATTGGAGACTCTCCAAAATATCCAAGAGGGGAAGGATGTGAGATGGGGATCTGCATATTTCCATCTGGAGAGCATGGAGGACACTCACCACTCTCCTAGGCCAACACCAAGGTCCTCACCCAACACCCCTCACGCCAAGGTTCCTCAGATCCTGGGTGATGGTCTTCCCAGCCCTTCTGTCCCCCTTGAAGCCCCTTGGGTGCCTGTCCCACCTTGGTGCTGGAATGGGAGAAGGACTTGGGGAAGATGTGCCTGGGGAGGTAGCAGGTCAGCAGGTGAGGCAGGGGCGTAGCTGAGGGCTGACTCCAGACCCAGACCGGTTGAGAACCAGGGCATGCAGTCAGAATTCAGGACGGTTCGGCTCCAGATAGGGCAGCTGTGGCTGCAAATGAGGCTCAGGATCTTGGTCATCCACATGGTGCCTGCCAGGGAAAGCAGAGATGCAGGGCAGAGGACCCTGCCCAGGGGGTCGGGATGGGAGGATGTCACTGTGCCACAGCTCCATGGTCAGCGGCACCCTCAGCACTGAGTCTGTGCCCCACCAAGATATGGTGCTGCCCTGCCAATGCACAACCACTGCGGTAAACCCCCCCTAAAAAACATTCCTGTTGCCCACCACAAGGGAAGATTCACCTTCTGAACACCACCTGGAGGTATTTCCAAAGGCCTCACCTCTCTCCTGCCCCTCTCCACCCTTGGCCAGCCCCGCTGTCCACCCCTCGTACCAGACTTGGGGTAGGTGACATTGAAGATGTCACCGTCCCACACGAGGAACTCATTGTGGGCGAAACTCAAGCTGTGCTCGGAGTTGTAGGCAGGGGGGAACTTAATGCCTTCATATGTCGCATAGCGGACCGGCATCGTGTCTGGGTGGGGGTGGGGATGGGGATGAGGTGCTGCAGCTCTGCACCACTATGATGGGGAGGGAGAGAGACGGAGTAAGGGTGCTGACTCCAAGCCAAGAAACCTCTTCCCCCCATAGCAGGTCCCAAATAGGAGCCCAGCCATCCCATATCCCCAGCATCCCCCGATGCTGGGGATGTGGGATGTGTATTACGGGATAACCCACCCGGATACTCTCCAGTCCTTCCTTATGGGGACCCTACCTCAACAGCAGGTTGTGCGGATGGGGGAACTGCCGGCTCGTAGAGCATTTAAGGAGCTCTAGGGCTAAAAAAAATCCCTCCCCTTGCTGCCCCATGTGTTTGCCTGCCCTCACAGCTTGGAGGGGCGTCAAGCAGCCATCGTTGCAGGATCTCTGGCCAGTCAGGCTGATAGGAGGTAGAACTTCCCTGTCTGGTACCCAAAACCCAGCTTTGCTCTGCTCCGGGAGCTGCAGGTCCTTGGAGGTGCCAGGAGCTGGAGGGAGAATAAAAAGGGGAGGGGAAAGTTTTCTGCCCTTGTGCCACCATTCTGGAGCAAAGATTAGCAAGATCCAAAGTCCAGCAGGCATCCCCTTCCTGAGGACGGGGTGGGTGGGCTGGGATGCGGGAAGCACGCCAGTGTAGGTCCTTTAGGGAGCACGGTGAGGTGGGAAGCTGGTGTCCTGTGTCTTCTGCCCTGAACTCCAACCCCACTGCAAGAACCCCACTTTTCTCCCATGCCCCTTTGAACTCCCACCTAACCCTAACCCACCCTAACCTTTTCCTCCAAATACACTATTAAACAATTTCCCTGAGCTAAAGATCCTTTCCCAGTAAATTTCCCAGTAAATCCCAGTAAATTTAACAAACGCATTAAAAAATAGATTATTAAAATGGCTCATCAAAAAAAAAAGTCTTTCCCAGAAAGGCAGAGATGCTGCTACAGCAATAAGGGATGGGCCAGATCTTCTTTTTCATTAAAAACCTTCATGATTGCACTACAGGGAGAGGAAGAGAAGTTCTTCCTCCACTGAGGCACTATATGGTCTGCTGTAGATCCAAGGACGGGGATGTTTAATGCCATTAATTAGAAGCAACCAATGCTTCTTGTAAACAAGGCAGCCATGCAGTCATCTGCAAAATTGAAAGTATTTTCTACATGTTCCCCTAGGAATGCAGCAAGTATTCTGCTTTCTTGCAAAAGAACTGCTATTTTGAAAATTTTATGTAACGCGATATGCTGATAAAAGTAGACTGAAAAATAAGTCCATGGGGCGCGCGCAGTGTTTGAGAAGTAGTAAATATTGGCTTTGAGTGCATAGGACAGTTGTTTTTTTAAGACAACCAACTAAACCAGCAATTTCCCTTTGGATCCTGCTTTGTTTTCCAAGCAAACAGGAGAGAAAATGGGATTAAGAAATGTTTAAACACTTCAAAGAGTAATGTTAAGCCACCCCCAGGTAGGAGGTTAACAGTGGAAGTGGGAAATTAAAATTAACCCTTGGGACTACCCATCACCTTCCTTGCTTTGAGTTAAGCAACAAGTTAAGCAAAACTAAAAAACACAGGAAAAACCTCGAAGTGTTACCAAATTTTTTTTCTTTGCAATCTGAGCGGGTATCTACATTTTTCAGAACAGACCTAAAAAAAAAGCTATCAGGTTTTTTATAATCAACAGTTAATAAATAACCGTAGGCTTCCCTACCTCCAAAAAGTAAGTATACTAGCATAACTAATTATTAAAAATGAGATAACAAATGTTTGTAAACACCTTGGCACGGATAAAATGTTAGTTGAAAAATGTCAGTCTGTATTTTAGAAATACATATTACATCATTTTTAAAAGGCATTAAAACATTATAAGCAGTGTTTGGTTAGTTAAGATATAGAGAAAACCAAAAATGAATGTGTTAAGTTTCAGATATTTTTAAGTTTTCTTATTAAAAAAAACCATCCATGCTACTGGGGGAAAAAAGAGAAAAAAAAGCAAAGACAGGATTTTAAACTGCAGCCAGGGCATTTAAGTTAAACTTTAAGGAAAAGCCTGTAATTATAAAGACTGTCAAGTATTAAAAATATTAACGTGCAACAATTCCAAATCAAACTTGTCATCTCAGAATAGCAATTAAACAATATTTAAAAGCTAAGAACGAATGAATGCATGCTAGCCTTTTAAAACATAGTGATGAGGCATGAATATAAAAAATTAATTTCTTCAGCACTCAGGTTTTAGAAAGAAAACCCAATCTTACCCAAACTAGAATCCACAGCAATTTAGAATGAATTAAAATTAGTTAATTAACTGAAGTTACCACTTCAAAATTAATTAAAGCAGTAATAGAGGAGTGAAGTCTCATTAAAGAAAACCCATTTGTGCCAAAGCGGAACAGAAATCAAACACATCACGCTTTCCAGGAGGCCGTGCAGTTACCCTGCTGCTGCAGGTCCAACAGGACGTTGTCCCCAGTTGGGTGGAAAATCAGAAATAAAGCAGAAAAAATATTAATATCTGTTTTGGAACAGTGCTTTTTCAGATCTCACCTGGATGGGATGCACTGGCGAGGCACTCTGGGTAGGCACTGAATGGTTAATCTAAGACAGAGATGGCAAAAGGTGGTTTGTTTCAGGATCAGTCAAGTTCTGGGTCTTCTCTGGAGGCACCTGGTGGCGCTCACAGGTGATGGGGAGCAGCAACATGCCCAGATGGGATTATGAGGGGCATGAGATGCCTCGGGGATGTGACTCCCTGCCCTTCGCCGCTGAATATAAAGGGAATCTGGCAACTTTTAGGTGCTGACTAAGTGCAGCCCTCCAGGCTGGTTAGCATGGTGGTCCTCTGTTGGAATGCCTCAAAGAGGTCCATGTCACCACGTCATCATGCCTCAACCTCCACCAGTTGCCGCAAGCCAAGTCCTTCCCGGCATCCCAAGCATGCAGCAGATCGAGTTGCTGCACTAGGCGGTCCAAGCAATCTGGAGAGACATGGAGACAATGCTCATCCGGGCTGATTGCACTGGGCACCTCCAAGGACCTCCTTCACCTCCTCCGATTGTGGTTATCTGCAACCTCAGTTTGTCTTTTTTTTCTGTTTTTATTTTATTTTTTGAAACATGGTGTGGCTTTGCAACCAGCTTCTGCGTTTCTTTTATTTCCCTGCTTGGTGCAGCTCCAAGTGGCTTTGTAGCTCCCTGTTTGCTTTGCCTCGTGGCAACCGCGGGTCCTTTGAGTCACTCACAGCCTTTTCAAACCAAGGGCAAGTATTTGAGCTCTTTGAAAATGTTTGCCTAAGGGTTGGTGGTGATTGTCTTGTGTTATTGGTTTATCTTGAGTCCTCTTGCATTGCCACTTTGGGAGGTGGATGGAGGGTTGGGTGGTAGGAACATCTCAGAGCTCCCCCGTAGTGAACCCCAAAGGGCCAGTTTGGGTGGAGACCAAACAAGATGAACCCTTTGGGTGCTGGGGCTGGATGCAGCAGGGCTGCGCACCTCCCTTTTACGCTGCGGGTGGTGAAACACCGGCCCAGGTTGCCCAGAGAGGTGGTGGATGCCCCATCCCTGGAAACATTCCAGGTCAGGTTGGACGGGGCTCTGAGCGACCTGATCTAGTTGAGGATGTCCCTGCGGGCACACACGTGTCCCCATACACACCCATCCGCTCCAGGCGTGTCCCTGCACTGCACACGCGGGTCCCCATGCCCACACACGTGCTCCAGGCATGTCCCTGTACTGCACAGGCGTGTCCCTGCACTGCACAGGCGTGTCCCCACATGCACACGCGTGTCCCCATGCCCACACACATGATCCAGGCACGTCCCTGCACACCACACGCGGGTCCCCACGGGCACACGCGTGTCCCCATGCCCACACACGTGCTCCAGGCACGTCCCTGCACACCACATGTGGGTCCCCACAGGCACACGCGTGTCCCCATGCCCACACACATGATCCAGGCACGTCCCTGCACACCACACGCGGGTCCCCACGGGCACACGCGTGTCCCCATGCCCACACACGTGCTCCAGGCACGTCCCTGCAC